CTGTGATGACGTCAGCTACGCGGTTTCGTCGAGCGTGCTTTAGTCGAACGCGGTTTTGTGGTGGAACCGTGGAGTTTAGATGAATGGCTTTGCCATTGTACATGACGCTCCCATTTAGTTATCATAGTTAACACATGCACTTTGTCAGGCAAACACATTTGTATAACTGCAAATACGTGAGAAGTAAGTTGCATTCCCTCGGCTACCAGCGTCTCCTCCAGGAAAGTCTGAGCAGGCCACAATATATTGGGTCTATAGCTATGACTCCCCCTGCCTGCACAGCTGCCTGTTCTGTTCCTAATCCAGACATTTCTCTGGTCCAGGATTAATAGAACAGAGCTGTGTAGTTGCTAGGCAACTTTGCCACTTTCCTTGTTCCTGCCTCCATCTGTAGCAAAGCCTGCTGGTCCCAGAAACAAGAAAGATGAAAGGAAATACTTAGCTATAAGTGGGGGCAAAAGTGCCAGTGGAGCCAAATTGCCATTATTCAAGACCAACCTAAAAAAACAATACCATTGCATGTATGGTTGGCAAGACCAAAATGATACTCCCATGCTATTCTTTTGGTTATCTTTGCCCAACAACATCTTGCCTTCATTCCCAAGCCCTCCACCACATTTCTTCAGCATTCACAACACACATTGATACAGAGCATTTACTGAAGTCTGCCTGAATTGAAAGACATTTATTTTATACAGTAATTTACAATCCCTATGATAGGGAGGGTTATCACATCAACATTTAAACCTCCGTGCTTTATCACTGGCCTGCTTCATTCCTTTTAGCCCAGGTGTTTCCAACCCCTGGGCGGGGCCCACTACCAAGCCATGGTCTATTTGGAACCAGGCTCCATGAGTGGTGGGCTGGCCTGCGCATGCATGCGCCATCCCTTGCCTTGTGCAGTCTGGTTCTTCCTCACCACCACCACCCTCGCCACGCCGTCAAAGTTGAGGACCACTATTTTAGCCAAGGTGGCGCAGTGGTTAAATGCAGCACTGCAGGCTACTGCTAGATCAGCAGTTCAGCGGTTCAAATCTCACCGGCTCAGGGTTGA